TGTGATTGGCCAGCTATCCAGTGCGTTGTGATTGGCCAGCTATCCAGTGCGTTGTGATTGGCCAGCTATCCAGTGCGTTGTGATTGGCCAGCTATCCAGTGCGTTGTGATTGGCCAGCTATCCAGTGCGTTGTGATTGGCCAGCTATCCAGTGCGTTGTGATTGGCCAGCTATCCAGTGCGTTGTGATTGGCCAGCTATCCAGTGCATTGTGATTGGCCGAATACCTCAAGCGTGTGATGGAAATGTTTCGCCCCTCACCATACAGTGATGCCCTGTCCAGCCGGAGCGACGAGACAAAAACATTAAAACCCATTATAAACGAGGCATTTGTTGCATCCAGTGGGGACATAATTACAGATTATAATGACTTATACTGCCTTTTTACGTGTTGCATCGCGCCGCGTAAACATAAAACTTAAATAAAGAGGAAATACAATCCTCCATAAAATGTGTTGCACACATCTGAATATTTGGGTTGAAGTGTTCTGGAACAGTGTTGTAAATACAACTTTACCACTGATTTCTAGTTGTGTCCTCTTTTGGAACGCCAAACTAAGTACCGTATTGTCCCGAATATAAGACGATGTTTTTTTCTTGGAAATACAAATGAAAAAACGCGGTCGTCTTATATTCAGGGTCTAGACTGTGACATGTCCGTAATACACCCACAACAATAGGTGGCGCCAAATACACATAAAACGAGTGTGCCATGAAATACTAATGTAATGCGTGTTGTAAAGATCGCGAGGAAAAACAAAAACAAAAGAAAAAGAAAACCTTACAGCGGCATGAGTCGTGACTGTCACATTAGCCTGATGGGACCAACTCTACTTCTACTGTTAATAAGATTTTGGTAGGCTACTATTAGATGGATAGCCTAAATGTCCTAATTCAGATGGGCTACCTTCTGTTTCGCTTTCACAACGAATCACACAGCGCCTTCACGACATGGCGGCGGCAGCAACAGTACTACAGCGAGAATAAAAGTTACGCCTTCTTTCTTTGCGTGAACATTTGGGCGCCGTTATGCAAATCTTCCCACATAGTGAGGTAGACATGTGGGGCGTGTTAGAACGAGCCTGCCTCGTAGGTAGGTGTGGTTGACTCTTAACTTTTATAAAGATTATCTCTTTGGATTTGAGACTTTAGTCTTCAAGAGCTTGTAACACTCCAAAGAGAAAGGAAAAATTTAAATAGCATCATATGACCCCTTTAAAAACATGATATTAATCATATCATATAATAAAATATAATTTGTTGTTACTACTTTAAATATATATTCAATTATTATTGGATCTCCTTCAATACTTTCAGAATCTTTACTTATTAAAACGATTTTGTTTCTGTATATTAAAATATATTTGTTATATTAACATTTTAATGACAGTATATTTATTGATAAAAATTGTTTTTTTAATTTTTCAAAATAAGCAGAAAATAAAGTGATTGTTTTGAACAAGTATTAACTTAGACATGATTTAAAAAACCTTATTTTAGCTGAAGAATTTGTATCAATACCGTGTGCCTTTTACCCCATGCTGGTGAGCCTTTTGCCCCGTGTGTGGGGTAAAAGGCCCCTCTTGCCACCTCATACATTTATACAATTTTTAAACAAAATAAACAACTTGAATGATTTATTTTGACACAAAATCTGTTGCTCCATTAATGTTCAATACTACGTATATATTTTTTCTGCAATTATACATTTTAGGTGCATGAATGTCACATTTTTTCTTAAGGTGGGCCTTTAGCCCCGTTGTACCCTATCCTATTCTCTGCACCTGCTCATACCCTCAATAGATCCTGTCAAACCATCCTGCCCTCCTTCAGTCTGCACACAAAAACAAGCTATTCATCAACCTAGATATAAGTAGCTCTCATTTAAAAGTGCCTAGACACTTTTGTTTGCTTCTACTAAAAAGTAAAAACAAACACAATCTTCAGGGCAAACTGTTGAAACACAAATGTAGTTTTGTTCATTGCATTGACGGACAAGTCATTTGCTGTTTTTGGAAGCAATATTGCTCTCTGTAACTGTAACTGACTGAAGGAAAAAGCAAATCATATTTTCTTGGCATCTACATAATGTTCTGTATCTCTAAGTCACAATGGATTTCACAGAGGATCTCCAGGGCAGGCGGCACACTCATGTCATTTTCTGTGTTCAAACAGATAGTCAGTCTGTGTTAGTGGTGAGGATTTTTTGGGTAAAAACTCTTACAACAAGTGATTGATTTTGTCATTGAATCATTTGAAACAATTCATTAAAAAACACTGTTTATTCAAGAACATGTCATTAAATCATTCACTCAACAATTAATTGAAAAACACAGATTCATCCAGGAACAAAACAAATAACTCTCTTTATGAGTGAGTAATTGAATCATTCACTCAACAATTCACTGAAAAACAGATTAATTCAGGAACCAAACAAGTTGCTCTCTTTATGAGTGAGTCACTGAATCATTCACTCAACAATTCATTGAAAAACACAGATTCATTCAGAAACAAAGCAAATAACTGTCTTTATGAGTGAGTCATTGAATCATTCACTCAACAGTTCATTGAAAAACACAGATTCATTCAGGAACAAAACAAATAACTATCTTTATGAGTGAGTCATTGAATCATTCACTCAACAATTCATTTAAAAACAGATTCATTCAGGAACAAAACAAGTTGCTCTCTTTATGAGTGAGTCATTGAATCATTCACTCAACAATTCATTTAAAAACAGATTCATTCAGGAACAAAACAAGTTGCTCTCTTTATGAGTGAGTCATTGAATCATTCACTCAACAGTTCATTTAAAAACAGATTCATTCAGGAACAAAACAAGTTGCTCTCTTTATGAGTGAGTCATTGAATCATTCACTCAACAAACCATTGAAAAATATAAATACATATTCATTTAGGAACAAAACAAGTGACTGTCTTTATGATTGAGTTTTGACAAAACAGTTGATTCTGCTGTGGCTTTGTTTAGAATTGTTTCCTTTGAGTGAGAAAAAATTGACAAAATAACTGCCAATATTGTATGTAGAAGTTTTCAGTTTCATAAACTGTTGTATGAGAGCAGTATCACGGATGCTGTTGGTCTACACTGCTGTATTTTTAAGGATTTTTCGATACTGGAAAACAAGAAAAATGCTTATTTAGAAAATAATTATTTGCAAGGTGTGTATTTATTGCAAAAAGCATCATTTCATGCTCTTTACCAGTTTGCATAATTCTCTTTTTCTTGAACATTTTAATATTTTCCACAGCATTCTGTATGCAGACATTGTTGGATTCACACGTCTGGCCAGTGACTGTTCACCTGGAGAACTTGTTTACATGCTCAATGAGCTCTTCGGCAAATTTGACCAGATAGCCAAGGTATTATATGGCCTAACGGGCATAGGAGAAACCAGTACTTAATTGTCAAACTTTAAAGTGACACCTAGGCCCAGTCTCTCCTAATAATGACATGCTTTCATGATTGATATAATATTCATATTTTTTCCTGTACACAATATAATGTCTACTACACCTGCTGCCTTGATGGTTTGTTTGATGCAGGATAACGACTGCATGCGGATCAAGATCCTGGGCGACTGCTATTACTGTGTGTCAGGGCTGCCAGACCCGCTGACTGATCACGCCAAGGACTGTGTGAAGATGGGGCTGGACATGTGTGAGGCTATCAAGTAAAAGAGCACGCTGTCTTTCTCAAACTAGATTATAATTGGTCCATCACAGCAATCTGCACTGAAATATGTTTGCATAATAACCACTAAACTGTATAATTGACCTTTGTCACAGGAAATTTCAGTTTCCTACATAGCTGTGCTTGTTTAAATGTCTGTGCAAACACCATGTAAAATTCGGTCTTAATAGGCAAATTTAACCTAAATATAATTGGCATACAATGCCGTAAGGTTGCCAGCCTGCGGAACACCTGCTGGGCATCCCATAAGCCAGTGCTTATCAGGATTTATTTTGAGATAATGACCAGCTGCACATTATCCATTTTCCATTTCTTCATTAGAACAAAAAGTCACATAGAGTTAGATCTGCTTAAAAGCCCGAAAACCACTACACATGAGCTGTTTGTCACATTATGGCCTTTCATCATCTACAAGGGACCATTTCTGTGTTGTTTTATCCCATGTTGTCTGTCTTTTCAAGCACTACTCTCTGAGGCTGAAATAACACTCGTACTCAAGAGGCTCAGATGTGTGATGTTGCTGAAACCCACACATTCTCCTTTCTCCAGCTCAAAGTGCAGCCCCTTTTTCCAGTCCCTTTCACGATTCCTCACCCATTCTTCATTCTTCCGCTCTTCTGCCACACATTTGCTTTCCGTTACGCTACTGCAATCTTTTTCTTTCACACACACACACAAATCGATTTTAGGGGGTTATTGAGAACCCTTCAGTGTATTTTCCAACATAACATAGCTCAGTTTGAGGGGCTCCTAGAAATAAGAATGGTGTGTGACAGATTCACTGAAATGATCTGTCAGAAACACACACACCTCCAGGGGTGCCATGCACCTTTTTATTTTATTATATATATATATATATATATATATATTTGTTTTTAGCAGGTTAAGCAATTTTATACTGGTCCACAACCTAGACCAGCACCAAACTAGCTTAAACCAGCCCGCATTAAAAAAAACAAAAAAACCTGCTGGTCTAAACTGTTCTGTGCAGCAGGGACATGCTAACATTCAAACTAGCTTATCTAAAACACAAGATGAAACGTTCTGTGTGCTGAATGAATATATACAGAGGCACCAGACACACTCCCTCATAAACCAACACGTACCGCTGCAGTCTTGGCACCTTCTGATATTTACTTTGCTATAAATATTTCTGGTGTTAAGCTGAGTTGTGTCAGTGAAATATGGTGCTGTTTCAATCATTTCAAAGAATGGAGGGAGAGCCTGAAGTGTGTACATGCTGTAAAAGAAATATCTTTCATGACACTGGAAGAAAACTTGCCTTATTTACATAAAATAGTTGTATAAAATCCGTCAAGAGTATCCAAATTTATGTTTCTCATGATTTATTCACAATCTAAAGGTTTATGCTTGCAATTAGTTTAGTAGACAAATATAATTGTGCCTTCACATACCTTTCTTTAAAAACTTTGTAATAAAAAATTTTTTATATATATTTTTAAGAATATTTTGTATACATTTTAATTCTGATAATTGATTAAAATACATTTTAAATTAATTACATGCTTATTAGATCATTCAATTTATAATATGCTGATTAAATAATCAAATTTATCCAAATGAATTTCATAAATACATATTCAATTACACTTGTGGCAAAAAATTTTTTTTTATTAAAATGTACAGTAATAGTAAACAATGAGCAAACTTTACTTGTTATTTCAGGAAGGTGAGAGATGCTACCGGGGTTGACATTAGCATGCGTGTTGGGGTGCACTCTGGGAATGTTCTCTGTGGCGTGATCGGCCTCCAGAAATGGCAGTATGATGTTTGGTCACATGACGTCACCCTGGCCAATCACATGGAAGCGGGGGGTGTACCTGGGTAAGATCAGCATATGACTTTTGTTTTTCACCATTTCATGATGTTCACATTTGCCATAAGTGCTATTATGCTCGTGGAGGGTTCTTGACGTTAATAGAAATGCTTTTTTGATAGCACAATGAATGTGCTTTTGTGCTACTAATGAGTGTTCGTTGAATAACTCAAAAAAATAACAGAAACGCAAAGCACTACATTTATTTTTCATATCTCGACTATTGTCTCTGCGGGCATTGGAACATTTGTGAAATACTCACATAATACACCTGTTTTTGTGAAGTGTTCTTTCATTTGCCAGCCTGTAATAGTTGTGTGCTCCTCTCCAGACGAGTTCACATCTCTTCTGTGACACTGGAACATTTGAAAGGAGCGTATCAAGTCGAGCCAGGCAACGGACAAAGCAGAGATTCTTACCTGAAAGAGCACGGCATCGTCACGTACCTAGTCATCAACCCGAAGGTAAAAAATGACGCAGTCCAGCTTTCACGTTTATAAATAACTAGACATTTACATTGTCTTGCTTTGTGTTTGCTAGAGGTTTTTTACTGGCTCTAATCATGTTAGGGGTTTATAACAAACATCAGCTATGATAATAATTATTGTGGAAACAATAAAACCATTTTTAAATAAATAACATAATTATAAAAAACAAAAATGTCTGTTTATTACCCAGAAAATTATTAATCATAGCCGAACAAACACCTGCTGTATGATGTATGTTAATAAATCATATCATAATGTGTCTAGTTATGCAACTGAAGCAGTTAAATTACTTTTCAAATTAGCATTGCATTCAATTCACCTTGAGCACTAATTAGCATAATTCCCGTATTTAGACTTTGCGGTTACACAAACGTGCCTTTGTGGTCATATTTCACAGCCCTGGGGAGAGTGTTTATCAAAACACAAAGTTCGAGGAAACTGGCATCAAGACCCAGAAGATTCCTGAATATCCATTCATTCAGATGTGTGTGGGCTTTTCAGCCCACAGATATCATAATGCCTGGCACCATATATTCAAATAACAATGCCTATTCTTTTATTTATTTATTTTTATTATTTATCCGGTGCCTTATTTACTTTTCAACAATGCATTTGCTTTGCCCGAGGTAACAAAAGCAGCACATTTTTCTCATAAGAGACTCATACATTTATTTCTGTTCCGTTTGAGCCTTTCGGCCCTCTTATCAGAACAACCCACTGCACACCCACTCCTTCCACACTGCCATTATGATGACTGCATTTGAGTTTGGAGGGCTTTTGCTTGTTTGTTTAGTTGTTCTCTTTTCTTTTATCACCCTGTTGTTCAGTTAATGCCAATTTGCAATTTTTTATTTATTCTAATGACCGACTTCCAACGAGTCAAGTTGCTGTAAAAAGTAGACCATACAGACTTGACACAGTACCACAATTGTTTAGGATCCATAGTATACAAACATTTACTGAAAATCAGTATCAGATCACTTAATGCACTTGAATAAAAAATGTATTACAAAACCACTACATATTCTTGTCCGATTTTTGGGGATTTCTGTGCCGTAACACCTCTAGCCTATTTAGACTTGTACTTCATGCTATGGTTGTACTTCATGCGTAGGTAGAAAAACGGAGTCCCCCGCTACCTGCTCGTCTTCGCACCACTCTGGATGGGGTCAAGATGAGGGCATCTGTCCGCATGACACAGTACCTTGAGTCCTGGGGAGCAGCCAAACCGTTTGCTAACCTCCACCATCGAGACAGCATGACCAACGAGAACGGCAAGATCAACACACACGTGAGTCAACCTGAGCACACATGCAAAAAATACAGTCATCGTGATTACAGTCATCAGGACTAGTTTTGCTGGAAGCATTTAATAGTGCTCTATTAATTACATTTGTTCCATTTTTTTTCTTACAGGATGTGCCATTAGGGCAGTACAACTTTCAACAAAGGTCTGAAAGGTCTGGGGTTTTTTTACTGTTCATTGCTTTATATAACAAAAAAAAGTCTAACAAAAAAAATCTAAATTCAAGTGAATAACCTTTCAGAACCTTCACACTGACCTCACTTCCATTTCCATGGTTGGTTAGTCTCTCGCCCTCTTTTTTCTTCCCTTTCAGAACAAAATCACAGAAAAAGAGATTTGAAGAGGAGTTGAACGAAAGAATCATTCGCACTATTGATGGCATCAACTCACAGAAGTGAGCATCCTAATGCTCTGTATCCATATGGAGGAGGAACTCGTGAATTCCCTGCAAAACAACACAAGAAATAGCTAAATGATAACAAGGAACAAGTCTGACCTCACAATGAAAATCTGGGATTCAAAATCTTACTTAAATCAGGAAAAAGAAAAGAAAGTTGTTTGATTTTGAAAACACATATTTTTTCACATATTTATTAAATCATTTTTTATTTCATATATTTTATATATATATATATATATATATATATATATATATATATAT